CCAGGAAAGGGGTAGGGCTTATTGGGATGGGCGCTGCTCCCTCCCACCCCACCCACCCCCAGGCAGCTGGGACAGGGGGCGGGGCATGCTGAGAGGGCGTGGTCTTTGACAGGGGTATGGCCTTTTTTGGGCGGAGTCTTGACAAAGCTGGGGGGGAGGCTTGTGAACCTTCTGTAACCACCCAACAGCCCAGGCATGGAGCGTCAAGAGCCTGGTGGGGGGCGTGGCCTAACTGGGGGTATGGCCAAGGCTGGGGTGTGGCAAGTGTTCAGGGGGTGTGTCCAGGGTGTGTCCAGAGGGTGTGTCCAGGGTGTGTCCAGAGGGTGTGTCCAGGGCCCAGAGGTGTTTCAGGGGTGTGTCCAGGGCCCAAGGCCTAGGGCTGTGCCCCGGGGTGTGCCCAGCCCATGTCCAGGGGGTCTCACCGCTGCAGAAGGCGGCTGCGGCGCTCCAGGTGCCGAAGGGCCTCGGGCAGCGTCAGCTCCGCGTAGAACCCATAGCCCAGGGCCACAAACACACGCTGCGGGTCCGGGCTGGGGGGAAAAGGGAGGTTTGGGGGGGCTATGGGGGTCCTTGGAGGGTTTATGGGGTGCCACAGGGGTTGTGGAGGCCCAAGGGGGTCGCAGGGGCTGTCCAGAGGAAGTTATGGAATTCCAAGAGATTCCCAGTGGGCTCCCAGGGGGATTCCCAGGGTGGTTTTGGGGTCCCTGGGGAAGTCCCACCAGGCTTATGGAGTCCCTGGAGATTGAGGGTGTCTCAGGGGGAATACGGGGGGCCCAGGGGAGTCCTGGGTTCCTCTGCAGGTCCCAGGGGGAGGTTGGGATCCCGAAGTTCCCATGGTAACCCTGGGGGTGGGGTTGGGTCACTCAGGGGGTTTTTGGGATCCCCTCCAACTCACACTTCTGCAGTAACGAAGAAGTTGCAGCCGAGGTCGACCTGGGTGCGCAGGGGGGCGGCGGCTTCCTGGGGACCCCCAAACCCCCCAATGCAACACAGGGACCCCCAGCCAGCCCAGGGACCCCCAACCCTCCTTCAGGAACCCCAGACAGTCCCCAGGACCCTCAAATCACCCAGATTCCCCCAGTGCAACACAGGCAACCCCAAACGCCCCCAGGGACCTCCAATCCCACTTCAGGGACCCCCAAATCCCCCCAGGAACCCTCAAATACCCCAGATCCTCCCAATGCAATGCCTTCAAATAACATTCAAATAACCCCCTAATCTCCCCAGGGACCCCCAAATACCCCCA